GTCAGGGTTAACCAGGTAAGAGGTGATGTTGGAAGGATTCACAAAGGAGGCATTTTTGTATGGAGATGAGTTTAAGTATGTTGGCTAATGGGAGGTTATGATACCAGAATGAAGCACTTGGGCTCAAAGTAGCAATGGACTTCATTTTACTTTTTGAAAGGAAGAATGTGGTGAATTCCACAGCAAATGAGATGAAGAAAGTCTCCAAGGAGGCATGCTGGCAGGAAGCATGGCATTAAGAGTCTTATATCAGCACCATTTACACTTTAGCATCTAGCTTCCAACATGCTGTGTTGACAATTTACTTTACAGCTTTACAGCCTCCTAAATGTGTAGATTTCCAAGATGATCAAAATATTGAACAATTCTGTTTATCATAAACTGTAGAATAAATTTACAATACAGTAAGTCCAATTTTAGCTTTTGGTGACATCTAACTTTGTTAAAATATTCTGTGCTGGGATTAAGTGTTACTTATTTCTCTGCCCTGCTATCAGTCTGATTAACACTTCTCAAAAGTTAGGCCAGTTGAAGACATTAGCTTTCATGCATAAAACTAGATAATTGCGCTTCTTCAAGAGGGTTTCCCTCCACCCTCCAAATTTTTTTATAAGTGTTCTTGTTATGAATAAGGTAGGCTGGAGCAGAGTAACACAGGATCCCCAGTGGATCTAACCTCACTGCTTATGTCTGTGCTTCCCTTCTTTACACAGTTCTTTCCACCAAGAACAGATGCAGGATCCTTCCCAAGGAAGGATGAGGTGGCAGTGGAGGTCCTTCATTACTTATCCAGAAGTTGGGATGCCTTTGCTTAGACAAGTGGATACAGCTGCACTCTTCTCCTCCTGCCCAAACTGAGTATTGTCAGGGCCATCCTAGGCTCGTAGGCTGTGTCTAGACTACATGGCTCCGTCAATGGAGCCATGTAGTGTAGACATACCCATAGAGAATAGATCAATCACTGGCTATCAGCCAACATGTCCAAGGTGCAACCCCACACACAGAGGAGCTAACAGCCTGAGTGGGCCCCTGGGCAAGGTGTAGGGCAAGGTTGGCTCTGGGCTCTCAGAAGGACAGAGGCCTTGGGTGAAAGGAGTGGAACTGGGGGCAGTCAGCCTTCCACACTGCAGTGAGGCAACTGCCCATTTTGTACCTCCCATTGATGGGCCCCCCCATGCACTAGGTGCCCCAAACTTCCAATTGCCAGAAGCTGAGACTGGACAACAGTGGATGGGTCACTCAAAGTCTGTTCATTCCCTATGAAATATGTAGCATTGGCACTGTCAGACACAGGATATTGGGCTAGATGGACCATTGGTCTGCCCCCAACATGGCTAGACTTATGTACTTAAAAACAGCAGTCCTTGGCAGAAGCATCCCACGAAGATGTCCAGCACCATTTTATACTTATTGTCTCATGTGATCTGCCTACTCTGATGGACGTCTCTGCATTGATTACCTCTGGGTCACATTTTCAAGAATAACTCTTAGAGCTAGAAACTTCATTTTATTTATAATCATATGACTTCAAAAGCTGGGCCAATAGGCTTGTGATTATATTGCTTGTGCTTTAACCTGGCCCTGTAATAAGACTTTTTTGATCTTTGGAATCCCAGTGGTCCTCTTACTTTGATCGGGTTCAACATGGTTTGCCTGTAGGGCAGTTCACGTTGGTGAAGTTGAGAAGAAGTCTCACCAAACCAATTACCTGACATTGCCAGAGTCTAGTTATTGCTGCATCTCAGTCTGTCCTTTTTCTCTGCCTGTGGCACAGAGTAGTTTAGTCTCCTGCGAGCTATAAATACTACAGTCTAATTCAGATTATTGGGCTCAGTGCAAGACTAACTGGGAAGTCTTGTGACCTATGATGTGCAGAAGGTGACAATTTTGTAGGTTTCTTCTGTTCTTAGGACTCTGAAATAGCCATGTTGTTTGTTCTTTACTCAGTCCATGATTTCATGAGAATTATGAAATCTTAAATTGGCTTCCCATTTCCAAAATATGTGTGCATCAATGAATGTGATATGCAATGCCTTGAAAAGTTCTAATATCTTAAAGTGCAGAGAGGTGTTAAAGCAAAGAGTAGGAAATCAATTTTCAAAGGAGATCAGATCCCACTTAGACACCTAAATAAGCAGGGATGGTGCAGGGATAGTGTCTGAGAGGGCATGTGCCCTCCAAATGTTATAGGCAGGAGGTCAAGGGGCTGGCCAGCAGCTGGGTATCTTGGGGGCACCTGTTGAGGGCCTGTCACCCACAGCAGGCATCTAGTCCCTTTGCACTCACCAGCAGCAGCAGGGGAAGCAGAGCAATGTGGCTCCAGCTTGCTCTGCTATCCCAGAACATTGCTCAGGGAAGGGGCTGGACTGCCCCCACCCTTACCTGTGGGAAGTGGAGTGACTTAGCCAGGGGAGCAGAGTGGATTGGGGCCATGTTGCACTGCTTCCCCCACCACTGCCAATGAGTGTGGGAGGGCCAGACCCCTGCTGCCGATGCTAGACCCCCATTCCTGTTAGTCCCCAGGGCCACATTGCTTGAGAGAAGGGGTTGGGGAGAGATGAGGTGGGGGCAGAGCAAGGGTGGAGAGATGTGGGACCTAGGGTGGAAGGGGGTTGTCCTGGCCCTTCCCTGGACTGGGGAAGTGGTCATGTGGCTGGTGGTCCCCTATATCACCTCACCAGTCACCCTGTAAATAAGGACACATTTTTAAACAAATACTGAGTATCCTCCTGCATCAGCCACTGAGACACACAAGGTATTGGGCTCTATTGACAATGTATCCCCATATACTGAAATCTTCTAGTGCAATCCCAGGAATATCACTACCAAACAGTGCAGTTTCTCTAAATAGAATTACAGTGCATCCTACGTTCATCTCACTTTTGACTGTTACTTGTTACAGCTAAATATTGTACAACCTTGCTGTGCAATTATGCTGATTGAAAAGATGATTATGTTGAAGTCACCTATGATGATAATGATCTTACATTTACATAGTTCTTTTCATTGCAAAGCACTTCACAAATTGATAGACAAAATTATAGATAGGAATCACTTCATACTCCCCCAAAACACAGCTACCTCAAGAATGAAATGCAACAACTGTTTAACAATGCACAACAATAATAATAGCATATGACAGGAAGTGAAGAAAATGTTTTCCACCTGCAGCTCCTGAGGAATTTCAAGTAGCTGAACATTAGATACCAGAGTTAGAATATAAATAGAATGCTTTGGGTTCAATGTTACTATACAACTTTTCGAAAAAGAGTCATGGGTTCTTTATAGTCCAAAATTGGTTATTGGCTCTTTTTTGTGTCTCATCTGAAAGATGGAAGTAACAGACTCCATGCTTCCATGCTAAGACTCTGATTTATTACTAACCCAGAGGGAAGAATACATCTACTGAGTCACCTCATTATCTAGTGGGAAAATACATCTCAGGCAGTGCCCACACTGCAGATGTCTGCTGTATAGCTATAGTGGCTAAGTGTGGGAAAGGGTGTGATCCCTGAGAAACAGAGATATTCCAGCAGAAGCATCTAATGTAAATGCAGCAATTAATGGAAAATTGCACTTTTACTGGTATAGCTTTTTCTTTTCTTTTTTTCAGAGAGGGGCTGGATGTGGAATAAGCAATACTGCCAAAAGCACAGATTTGCTAGTAAAAGCCACATCCTTATTAGGAGTGTGTTGCTATAGTATTCCTCTGCTGCCAAAGTACACAGATGCTCTTCTGAACCCCAGTTGCACTACATTCTAGCAGAGGTTTACCGTCCTTGTTTGGTCCTACGTCAGTGGAGGATAGGCATAGTGTAGCAGCAGGCCTGATGACAGGGAAGATTAAGGGGCAACTGCCCCGGGCCAGGCAATTCAAAAGGGCCTGGAGCAGCTGGCTGCCAGTGCTACTGTAGTGGCCAGAGCCCCAGCCCCTTTAAATCACTGCTGGAGCCCTGTGCAGTGTGCTCCGGGCAGCTCTGAGGGCTGCTTGGTGAAAGGTAGCTCCAGCCCTGCCCCTTCCGCCTGAGGACCTGCCCTTTCTGTGGTCACAGACAGGGGCAGAGATTCAGGAGGATAGCTGGGGCAGCACCTGTTCACTCTGGGACATGACTGGCTTTTCTCCCCTTCCCCAGACTATCACGGAGTGAGGGGAAAGCACATGCATTCCGTGCATGCTTCTCACTCATAGCTGGTAAAGGGAATTGAATTAATTTTGTAATTTCTTTAGATCAATAATCATCTCATTTTTTAAAATTCTTGCATTGTCAATGTAAAAATGGGAATTCCATAAAAATAATATTTCTAGGGATGGAATAACATGATATAATTTTTGTTTAATATCTTTTTGAAAACTATTTGATAATTTGACAGTGTTCTTGCATTATTCTTACTGATTTGATTTGATATTAAATATAATCCTTCAAATAAAGCTAGTTCATAAACTGAACTGTACAGGGTAATTTCCCATTTACAATAATATAATCAAATATTAAACTTATCTTCTGTGGCAAGTAAGAAGGAATACTAGACACCCAGTCACTAGATGATATGTACTGTCATCTTGTAAAATAATAATGACAATTTACCTGCACTCAAAGAAATATCAATTGGGACCTATCAATGAACATCAGCTTCTGAACTGCGAGGGAAGCCCAATATTATGTCTGTCATCTGTACTGTGAGGCTAACTTTTCCTTTAGATCTGTCAGCTTTTGAGGCAGAACATTCTGACTGATTCTGCTGCCTCATTTTATTTTGTCATTTTAACAAGGACTATGCGAGAAAAAAATTAAAAAGGCAAGCCTCTCAAAGGTTTGATATTCAGCTTGTTTTAAAAGTCGACTTTTATGACAGATTTTCTCATGCACATACAGAATTACTTTTCCTCTCACTGTCTAATGGCTTAAATATTGTCAGATAGACTCTGTTTCAAGCAGCAAATCTCACTTAGATCAGTTTATCTGTCATTCTGTTTTTGACACATGCTTTTCTGTTAACAGGTCGTCACGGAGATGGGGCCTATTGGCCAGTTGACACGAACTTGATTGACAGAAGCAGCCTTAATGGTAAATATAGACTAAACTATACTTCATCCAATTAAGTTTCATTATTAAATCCTTTTTCAGCTGTAATCCCCCTCTCCCACATTTTTCTTCCCCATCGCCTTATTCAGTGCATGTATGGGTGAGAGTTTTAAAGTCTCACTCAGAGGATGATACTTAGTGTTACAGACTCACAGAAATATAGAGCTGCAAAAGAGCCTAAAGGCTATGAAGCCCCTGCTTTGAGGCAGAGCCAAGTAAACCTAGCTCATTACTGACAGATGTTTGTCCAATCTTTTCTTTAAAATCTCTAGGATTCTGCAAACACCATTGGAAACCTATCTCAGAGCTTTTAACTACCCTTACAGTCAGGCAGGTTTTCTAACTCTAAATCTCTCTTGCTGCAGATTAAGCCCATTACTTCTCGTCCTACCTTCAGTGAGCATGGAAAACAATTGATCGCCCTCCTCATTATAACAGATCTTGATAGACTGTTATGGCCATACTCAGTCTTCTGTTCTCAAGATTTTTTATCTTTCCTCATATAGCAGGTTTTCTAAACTTTTGTCATTTTTGTTACTCTTATATAGACTCTCTCCAATTTGTCCACCTTCTTCCTAAATTGTGGTATCCAGAAATGGACAGTGTACCTATCTGAGGCCTCATCAGTGCTGGGACAATTACCTCCTATCTTAATATGTCACTCCTGTTAATAGACTGCATATTTGCTGTTTTTAAAAAATGCATGATATTATTGATCCACATTCAATTTGCGATTTATTACAGCCTTACGATCATTTTCATCAATACCATCAGCCACCCAATTCTTTCCTATTTTGTATTTGTGCATTTGATTTTCCATTCCTAAATGAAATGGCATTGCACTTATTTTTGTTGAATTTCATCTTGGTGATTTCAGACCAATTCTATTTTGAATCCTGTCCTCTAAAGTACTTGCAACCTCTTCCAGCTTTCTGTCATTCACAAGTTTTTAATGCATATTCTCCATTCCACTATCCAAATGAAAAGTCTGAGTATTCAGAACCCAAGAATGACCTTAGTGAGACCTCACTAAATGTACTTTCTCAGTTTGATAGGACACCATTGATAATTATTCTTTGAGTGTGGTCTTTCAACCAGCTGTGTGATTTCATCCTATAGTAATTTCATCTAGACTACATTTCAGCAGTTTGTTTATGGGACTGTCATCTGAGACTGTGTAAAAAGTCTTTCTAAACCCAAGATATATCATAGCTACTATTTCCTCCATATTCCCTAGGGGTATGTCTACACTGCAAAGTTAATTCGAATTAACGGACGTTAGTTCGAATTAACTTTCATAGGCGCTACACTAGCGCTCCGCTAGTTCGAACTAAATTCGAACTAGCGGAGCGCTTAGTTCAAACTAAGAAAACCTCATTTTATGAGGATTAAGCCTAGTTCGAACTAGCTAGTTCGAATTAAGGGGTATGTAGCCCCTAAATCCGAACTAGTGGGAGGCTAGCCCTCCCCAGGTTTCCCTGGTGGCCACTCTGGCCAACACCAGGGAAACTCGTCTGCCCCCCTCCCAGCCCCGGACCCCTTAAAGGGGCACGGGCTGGCTACGGTGCCCGTGCCAGGTGCAAGCCT